CCCAGCGGGGCCCTCACCTGCACGCTGCTGCGCCCGGCCTGGGCGTCTGGCGGGCGCTGCGGGCCTCCTGCGTCCTTCCTGACTCCCCGCGGACTCGCCCTCCTCCTCCAGCCTCGCCGGGCTCCCTCCTCCTCGCTGCCCCACCCTCGGCCCGCCCAGGGCGCAGCTGCCCTGTGCCAGTCCCCGCGCCAGGCCCTGAGGGCCCCCGCCTGCAGGGGTCCCGCTGTGACCCCTCCCTCGGGACAGGCTGGGGCGCAGCCACACCCCTCCCACCCTCCTGGCCCCGGGGCCGCGTCAGCCACCCCCAGGCCCAGCGCTGTGTCCTTGGAGGAGGGGCCGGCTCAGAGGCGTGAGGGCGCGGTGGAGCCCGAGAGCAAACGTCTTCGCCCACCCTAGCCGGGAGCAGCCTCGGCCCCTGAGCCGTGCCATGGGCCCAGCTGCTGAGGGCTCCTGGCCAAGGCGGGGCTCTCGGGGACCCCTTGACTGCCCAGTGGGGCAGGGGCTCGCGGCCTGGTGAGGGGTGTGGGGGCTGGGGGAGGGGCGGCCTGGGTGCGCGGGGGGCGGGGGCGGGCAGGGGCTCGGGCTGCGGCCCTGGGGCTTGGGGTCGCCTGCAGCTCAGACCCGGCTGGCAGGCTGCTCCGCTTCCTCGGGCCTGGCGTCGCCCACATCTCCGCCGGGTCCGGGGCAGGCCGCGAGGGCGCGGGCCCGGCTGTACCGGAGGGCAGAGTGACCAGACGCCCTCAGCCGCTGGACGGGACTGCAGGCTGCTGGCCGGTCCGGCCGCCGCCCCCACCTCTGCATGTGCGGTCCGGGGTGCCCGGCCGCGGGAGGGGCCCCCCTGCTGCCCTGCCCCCGAGTGTGGGCTCAGGGCAGCCGCCCAGGCTAGCCAGCGGGCAGGGGAGGCGGCTCACGGGTCACTTGCTTGGGCGTGGGCGCCGCGAGTGTGGCCACTTTTCCTGAGGCGTCCAGGAGCGCTGGGGCCTCCACCAGGGGCCAGAGCCCAGAACAGTCTGAGCCCCAGGCCCGCCTGCGGCCGGCTCGTCCCCGTCAGCCTCCTGCCCGGTCAGCCGCAGGTTTTCAGCAGCTCGGAAGAACGGCCGGCCGGCCGGGGCTCGCCCCTGCCCCCAGCGCGCCCAGCCGCTCCCGGGCCAGCGGCCACCCGCCAGCCAGCCCCTCGCCCGGGGCAGGTGCCAGCCGGCGGTGGGGAGAGGGCGGCTGACGCTCAGGGGAGAGAACTGGGGTCCAGAGCCAGGGTGGGGGGAAGGTTTGTGCGTCCTTGGGCTGTCCACGGTGTGTCCGGGGGTCGGAGGCCGGGCGAGGAAGGCCAGCCCGACCTGACCAGAGCAATGAGACCCGCGAGCAGCCCCGCGGGACAGCCCCGGCTCCGCCCACTCGCAGGCCGGCCTGGGCTGCCCGCCTGGCCGCTGGCCGTCTGCCTGAGACGCCAGCCCGCTCAGGGGCGGCCTCTGCCCGCCGGCCCGGCGAAGGCCGTTCTCCCTGGTGAGCCCTGCTGGACCTCCCAGGGCACCCAAGAACCCACTCGCTGAACCCCAAGCGCCTCAAAAGCCCAGGCGGCTTGGTCCGTTCTGTCCAAGGTCCCGTCCGTGGGCCGCGCGGTGCAGCGTGCCGGGGAGGCCGAGGCGGCGCTGGCCAGGCCAGGCCAGAGGCTGCTGGGGCTTCACCCTCCTGGGCGCTGTCCCCCAGCCGTGGCTTTGCGCCGCATCTTCCCCGGAGGCCTGCGGGCAGCCTGGCCCCCGGCCGCTGGCCCTTCCCACTGCCGCCTCCCCCCGGGGTGGGGGCAAAGGCGGAGACCCGCGGCCTGCGGTCTGCCGCCCCGGGGCCCTGGGGGGCCTCCTGGGCAGCCCCGGCCCACGCCCGGCCCCAGAGGAGACCCCGCTTTGCTGTGAGCCCCCGCTGGGCCGGCCTGTCCCCGCTGGCACTGGGTGGAGACCCCGCTCCTGACAACCCCGCCCACGGAGCCCTGCGTCCACCCGCTGCCCTGCGGGCCCTCTGGACCCCCAGCTCCCCGAGTCCACCCTGGGAAAGCCCCGGGGTGGGCGACAGGTTCGCGCCCACCCTCCAGGGAGCGAGGGGTTCCCGGCAGGGACCCCGCCGCCGCGGGCTGAGCCGCGCCTGAGCCTGCAGGCCTGAGGGAGCCTGGGGCCCAGGCGCACCCCGCGGACTTCGCCCGGCCCTGTGCTCGCCGCTCCCCGCCAGCCTGGGCCCCGCCCCGCGTCTCGTGATGGGAGGCGCCCTCCACCGAGGTGGGCCCCCCAGGCTCAGCCCGCCCTGCCTGCTGGTGGGTTCCTGGGGGGGTCGCGGGGGGCTGGGGAGTGGGGCTCAAAGGGGCTAGGGGGGCACTGGCCGTCACCCCTCCGTCCCGCAGTGGCTCCCTCCCGAAGGGACAGTGACAGAAGCTAAGGGTCGAAGGTCAGGAGTGTCGGCTGCAGGCTGGGCCCCGCCCCGGCGCCTTCGGACCCGGCGTCCGTCCGAGGCCCTTTGTCCCGGATCACGGAGTATGGGGGGGCAGAACCGGCAGGGTCTCCAGGTGGGAGCGGCGTGGGCGCGGAGATTCCGCGAAAAGGGGGAAGGGAGAGGAAGGGGAGCGGGCAGTTGGAGCCGCCGGGGCGCAGCGCAGGAGCAGGCCCGGTCACGTCAGCTTTTCTGCTGAGGACAGCTCAGGCTCGCGCTGCCGTCGGCTGAGATCCGACATGCAGTCCTGAGAGTCAGTCTGTGGAAGTTAGGGCTCCTGAGATTGAACGCTGACACCGCTGTATTTACCGCAGCGGCGCCTGGCTGAAACGAAGCCCCGGAACCCTAATTCCTACTCAGTGCTCCTCATGCTCCCCGAGACGGCCTCGGGGGTGAGGTCAAGTGGAGGCTGGGCGGGGGCTCTGGCAGACGGTGCGGTCCCTCGCGCAGAGGCGAGCCGAGGGCAGGCTGGCAAGACCTGGGCGCTGGTCCGGCAGTGAAGGAGCCTCAGTAGTCTTCAGCGTGCTCCAGTACTGCCTCGCCTCACAGTATCGATTTTGTCCCAACCGCTTTCAGTCACCGGCCAGTTGTAGTATTATTTTTGCTTTCTAGAGCCGAGCCAGGCGGCGCCTGAGGAGGCCGAGGCGAGCCTGCGGGCGGTGGCCGCTCAGCCCGCTCTGACGCCGCACAGCAGGGAGGCCGGCCGCCGTGGGCCGCGCATCCCCATCTCAGAGATCTTGGTCTCTGCCCGGAATGTGCCAGTCGAGGGCGGTCGCAAAGCTGGCGGCACTGGGGCCCGGCGGGCGGGGCCGCTCCTGCGGGTGGGGCGCCCCGGGCTCACGGTCACCTGCACGCGCAAAGGCGCCCTCCTGTTTGCCAGCAGAGGAGACCACGGGGAGAGCCGAGGAGTCGCGGCCGGCAGAGGCGAGGCAGCGCCAGGCCCGTGCCCCGCCGAGGTCGGGCGCCGGAGTGCTGGGCGGGCGTGGGGCCGCCCGGCTGGGCTGCTGCTGGGGAGCCCGACACCCCTCTGGGGTTCTTTCTGGACGGACTCCTGCAGCGGGCTGTGGGCCACTGGCCTTCCTGCCGGGCGCCTCCAGGGCGCTGGGCGAGGGTGGCCGCTGCCACGCAGGCCGCGGGCTGCGCAAGGGGCTCAGGCTCCCTTTAGGGCAGCCACGGGACCCCTGGGGGCCAAAGCCTCGCCCGGCAGGCGTCTGGCAGAGCTCGCCCAAGGCCCGCTTCCGCCCTTTGACCCGGAGGCCCCTCCGAGCAGCCCAGCCGGGGGTGCGGGGCAGCGGGGCGCGGCCGCTGGGGCCTCGAAGTGGGCCGAGAACCCCAGGCTCTCCTTGTCAGGGGAGCTCCGCAGCGTCTTGTGGGCCCCCCCGGCCTCCGCCCTGCGCCAGGGCCTGGAAACCACAGCCCCCAGCAGCGCCGGAGAGAGCTGCGGGCCCCAGGGCGAGCGGGCGGCGGTCCGGGACTTGGGGGTAAGCAGGGGCCACAGCGTCTCTCGCCTCTGGCTGGGGAACGGCTGTCGGGCCTCGGCGTTTTCAGGGGCCCCGCGGTCGGGGTTCCAGCGGCTGCTTCCCGCCCCTCCCCCCTCTGGCCAGTAAACCGGGGCGCCCTTGTGCGCCTGCGGCACCACCGACATTTAGGCGCGGGCGGGCCCCACCGGCAGCGCCCCGCTCACTCTGGGGCGCCCTTAACAGTCTCACCTGAGGTCCCGTGGGCCGAGCTCAGAGCCAGCACCGCCTCCCGCCGGCCACGGCTCAGGCCACGGCGCGGTGCAGGGCTGAGCCGCCAGGACGGGGCCGCCGAGGGCCAGGGGGGCCGGAGCAGAGGCTGCCGCGGGCCACAGCCCGCAGCCACGGCAGGTCGGCAGGGGGCACCCTGTGGGCCCCGCTCTCGTGGGGCCTCGCGCTGCGTGGGCCGGCGACCCAGCCAGCGCCAGGCTGCCCTGATTCGAAAATGAAGAGAAGCCTCACCTGAGCGCCCCAGAGGGCCTCGGGCCTCGCAGGAGCCTGAGCCCCCAGACCCGGCCCTCAAGTCTGGGCGCCCCAGCCCCGCCCCGCCTCACCCCTCCTCCCCACCGAGGCCTGGCCGTCCCAGGGCCGAGCCACCGTGCGGCGGAGGCAACGGCCTCTCCACGCCTTTCTCGCTCTGTGATTCTTTTCAAGATGTATTTATGCTGCAAGAGCTGGGGTGCAGGCCAGAGGGGGATCCCCAGAGACAGAGCGGGGAGCAGAACAGGCGGGTCTCCTGAAACACTCTGCTGAGGGGGCAGCGGGGGACAGGAGAGGCTGCTGCACTCTGGGGTCACTCCCTAGCCGGGGGTCAAAATGTAACGGGGGGGTCCCCAGGAAAAAGGGGAAGTTCCAGGTTCCCTGCCCCACTCAGGAGGAGGGTGGAGCTGAGCGGAGAAGAGAGGAGTCTGGAGGAGGAGGAAGCAGGATGGGCAGGACGGCGGGAGGGAGCCCCCTGCAGCAGGGAGCAGGTGAGGAAGAAGCCGTGCTTGACGTTGACCCTGTGCTGGGCCAGAGGCCCGCGGGCAGGTGGCTGTGGCAGCGTTTGTCTTAATTTTGATTTTGCTCTTTTCCTCCCAGGCTTGTCTGGCCATCTCTGACCCTTTTCTAGGGGTCCCGGCCAGACGGTGCTTGGGCCTTGCGGCAGCTCTCAGGCCTCACTCTGGCCAGTCCCTTTGGGGTGCACTTTTGCCCACGAGGGGTCGGGTAACTCAGGTGTTCTAGACGTTGTATTCTTTGTCCTTTCTGTATCGCACGCTCACTGTACGGAAGCCCCTTCCCATTGAAGCTCGTATGTCTTGCCTTGATGCGGCGATGGCAGCGCCTATTTAGAGCAGGCAGGTTTCAGGGTCCAGGGGATGCCCCTCTCCCCGCCCTGTAACAGCACTCGTGCCGCCGTGGCTGCAGACAGCTCCACGGTGCTGCGCTGAAACCCGCTGCGCCACCAGAGAGGGCCGACTTGCACGTCTCTAAAGCACAGACAGGGCCGTCCCCATTGTCACCGCGTCCCCAAGGTGCACGCTCGGGACGGCCACGTGCTGCTGGCCCGGCAGCCAGCTCCGGGGCAGATGTGCCTGTTGGGCCCCTGCCGTGGGCTCCCGCTGCCCGCCGACCGTGGCTGGGTGCGCCCAGCGGCCATGGGTGGTCAGGGCAAGGACGAGGGAAGGGGCCTGAGGCCGGTAGCCCGCGCCGGAGGTCTGCCATGGGCCAAGGGCAGTCGGGGCAGCGGACACAGCTCAGGGGGGCCTGGCCCTGAGCCAAGGGGGGGGTCCGTCAGAGAGTGGCAGCCGGAGTCCCCGCCTGGGGGGACCGGTCGGCGAGGGCCCCACTCTCCGCCTGCCGCTCCAGCTCAAGTCAGGTGTGGCAGTTGCTCCTCAGAGCCCTTTATGTAATAGACGACGTCCTGGATGGTGAGCTGGACCAATCAGGTGTGAGCTATGAGCTGATTGGTGCTAAAGGGTCCAATCAGCCACAGCGTTGAAAACAGTCCAATCAGACTTGTGGGCGGGGCTCCCTGAGAGGCTATAAGGCAGGATGCCGGAGGGACACCGTCCAGCCTCGGGGGGGGGCAGGAGCCAAGGCAGGCTTGGGCCTTGTCTCTGAAGACCCAGAAGCTGAAAGGAGGAACAAGCTGCTGACCAGCGGCCCAGCGTCCGTGCTGGACGTCCGTCCTCCGGGGTGGGGCCCAGAGTGGGCATGGGCTCCGCATGACCGGCCACTGTTGACAATAATTAGTTTTCTGACCAGAGGGGCACCGGGCACTCCCAGCCATTCGTGTCACATAGCTGTGACAGGAATGTATTTGCCCAAGCAGCATCTTTGCTCTCTAAGTAAACTCTTCGTCCTTTTAACAGAGAAGCCGGCTCTCTCTCCGCATCACGGTCCTTGTGACCGTGTGTTCTTTTTATTATTTATTTACATATATTTTATATCATTGTTCATTTATGCATACAGAACTGGGGTACAAGCCAGAGGTGCAGGGGCGGCGAGAGGCTTCACCAGAGACAGAGCGGGGAGCAGCACAGGCAGACGGACGAAGCCCACTGCTGAGGGGAGCAGCGGGCGGGTCAGGAGCGGGGATCGAACTCGCACCCACTGAGGCAGTTACAGCAGCCTGCAGTGCTGCGTCCTAACCCGTTGCACCACCAGGGAGGGCCTCATTGTTGGTTTTAAAACGATGCTTGCTTCTCTCAGGTGTAGTCCCCATGGAATTCACACCACCAGTTCACCTGTGAGCATCATCGCAGTCCCCTGGGTGCCCCGGTCCCTCTTCCCAGCCCCTCTCGCCACCCATCCCCTGCAGAATGTCTCTGGTTTACAATCGTCTGCTTTTGTTTTGTGCTGTTTTGTATTCTCATTTCCCCTCACTGCCTTATTTGGCTCCCCTATCCTCTTATAAGGGACGCCGTCTGCTATCTTTCTTTTTCCTTCTGACTTATTTCCCTGAGCATACTCCCTTCCAGCCTCCATCCATGTTGCTTCGAGTGGCAGGAGTTTATCTATTTTGATGGATGAGTAGTATTCCATTGAGCTTAAATTCCACCTCTTTGTGATCTAGTCGTCTATGCTGGGGCAGTTGGGTTGTTTCCAGGATTTACCTATTGTAAGTAGTGCTGCAGTAAACACAGGGGTGCAAGTGTCCTTTGAATTAACGTCTCTGTGTCCTTTGGGTAGGCCCCTAGGAGTGGAATTGCTGGGTCACGTGGCAGCTCCATTTTTAGTAGTCTGAGGAGCCGCCACACAGCTCCCCACAGTGGCTGTGATGGAGGGAGGAATGCAGGCACAGGGGGACGGGCAGAAGGGGCCAGTGCAGCAATTAACACGGCCATAAAACCAAGGTCCTCAGGCTTGGGGTGGGATGCCAGCACGCAGGGAGGTCCCAGTAGGTAACAAGACTGTTGGGGGCTGTGCCTGAAGCTCAGACCCAGACGGTGAAGATGAGGACAGGGAGAGGGAGCTCATAGGGAACCTCCAGTCCTCTCAGATTCTATTCAGAGTCCGCACACCCAGGCTCAGGAGGAGGGAGCCCTCGGAGAGGGGCTTCTGTGTCAGGGGTCTGCTCCGGCCCGGGCAGCGGAGATTGTCTCCCAGTCAGGAGGTGTCTCGGTGTTTTGGCTTGGTGTAACCCCAGGTGTTCAGTCTTTTCCTTCCCTTTCTGTGCTTTGGGGAATGTGTAAACCGCATTCTTAAAGAAGTGCATTAAGCCCTCACCCAGCTTGGTGTCACACCTCTCGGCTCCTTCCTGGTGCTCATTCAGCTTGTCTTCTTTTCGTTTTCTTTTCCCATTCAGAAGTAACCCACTTAACTTTAGGAAGAAGTCTCTTCCTTTTCCCTCAAAAATGAAGACGCTGACACCTGCTCGTCACCTTTTCCTACCAGAAACGCACATCCCGTCCCATCTTCGCTGAGGTGGGTGTTACCCTGATTGCTTCTACTGGCTTTAATTATATGTATATGAATTCCCAACCTTACAAACCTTAACTTTTCATGGAAATTAACAAGAAGTGGTAGGTCCTGTTACACCAGTAATTTTCCTGCTGGCAAATTCATGATCGTGTCACAATCTCTAGAGAGGTGAGCTTCGCGGAGGCAACGTTTTAACAGGGCCACGTTCACCGCAGACCCAAGTGTCGCTTTAGTCTGTCCTGCAACAGGAAGTCACAAGTAGATCAACAATGTTAACAGCCGGTTTTAGTATTTTCTTATTTGGAAAATGAAGCCGAGAGTGGATGCGAGTGGGTGCGCGTGTAGCGCCCGCATCATACCCCCCGCACCCCCCCCCCACCGCAGTGCAGGTCCCTCCGCGGCCCCAGCGGCCTCTGCCTGGCTCCTGACCTGTCGGCCGAGGCCGCCGCACCTACTCCCCGCAGAGGGGCGCTCGCGCCTCGGGGAAAACCAAAGAACCACCCCGCCCGCGACAGGACAGAGCTCGCCCGTAGGGGGCGCCCTCCGCGCCGCCACGGCCTGCCAATCACCCAAACAGGAAGCGGCGCCCTCGCGGACACGCCCCAACAGGAAGTGCTTCGCCGCGGGCCCGCCCCCAGCCCGGCCAATG